AGTCGGATGTGCTGCAACGGATGTGGAATGAACTGGACTATCGCTTGGACATCTGCCGTGTCACACGGGGCGCCCATATCGAACATCTCTGAAGGTGAGACAAAACTTTGATAATTTATCTGTCGATACGTAGCTGTAGTTTGGTTACAATAAACATACATTCGTCTAAAATTAATTTTCCTATTGGCCTATTCATTTTGACTAACCCTGTATATAAATATAGTAAATAAATAAGTTCTTCATAGCCAGTTGTATTTTATTAAATGTGCACCTTGCATTTCTATCATATGTTGTTCCAGGGACTAATCATAATAACAACCCAAAATGGAATAAAATATATTCAAATACAATTGATTAAAAGATATAAAGACAAAAAAACCCCAACCATCTTCCTCCCTTCCCCACCCCAAAAGTCAATCAACCAGCAATATCATACTTACAGGTCAGGTTATGGGTCAACGGCCTGTTTAAATAAAAAAGCCTTTGTCTCAGAGTGGAAGATTATCAGAAACCTGGCTAGCTGGTAGGATTGCTAGGTCAGGATCATTTCTGGCCCTGAGGTTTCCCGGACAAAACCCGTGACCTAAGGATGGCCCTTTGTGAAGTCATTAATCATTGTCTATTAGGTATCAACAACATTTACTCACGGCTTGTCATTCTGGTGCACACATATAATAGACTATACAGACAGAGAGATAGATACACACATATTCATCCTATCTGGAAGTTAAGTCAGAAATCTTAGTTATATGAACTATTCCCTAGATCAAGGGGAAAGGAATTCCGTTTTCTTTGTCATTTACTTATGGGGTAAGATATGAATCATTTTATCTACATTATTTGCTTCAGAAGATGGAAATAGATCAGAGTGGAGAGTCAGTCATGGCATTGCTTCTTTAACTGTGGGTCCTGACCCCAAATGGGGTCCCATTAGCCCAATGTTGGGGTCACAAAAATTATTCCGATTCCTGAACACCACCTAGTACAGGGGTTCTCAACCTGTGGGTCCCCAAATGTTTTGGCCTTCAACTCCCAGAAATCCTAATAGCTAGTAAACTGTCTGGGATTTCTGGAAGTTGTAGGCCAAAATACCTGGGGACCCACAGGTTGAGAACCACTGACCTAGTGGCTGTTTAAGACATGTACGCGAATCTGTTATCAGCAATGTACTGTCTTTACAGTGGACTCTGCAGAAAACGCTTCAGCAGTACTTTAAAACAAAAAAGCAAAATCAGCCTCTTTAGCAAGACTTGCAAATGCTAATTTATTATCAGCAAATGTTTGATTTTTATACCTATTTTATATACCTACATACTCAGGAGGAAAGGGGTCACAAGTAGAAAAAGTTTAAGAAGCCATGAGTCCCGGCACCCAAATGGGGGGTGCAGGTGGGGGTTGGAGGTGCTACCTAAGTAAACATATAACCTCCCAGATAATCATCGCAAGTTGAAGCAACTAATCAATTAAGGCTTGTGGATTGTAGCAGGCTGGAGTTGGAAACTTGCATCCAGACCTCTCTCTTGTTGAGAGCTAAGCCCATGAAAACTAGAGAATTTGCACCCTTGTCTGGAGATGACCCAAGAAAACTGGAGAGTCCTGAGAGATTTGGCAACCCTACTAGGTAGACAAGGCTTCCTTGGCAAGGAATTCCTGCTTGAGGCAGCCATGATTGAAAAGCCCCCTTACTGAGTCTTTTGCTGAATGTGCTTCATATGTTAGCAGGACATATGAACAGGTCCTGTCTGGCTGAGATATGGGTAGGTCCATGCTGTGGAAAGCATGGTTTTCGGATAAATCTGGCCTCTGATTTTTCAATGTGCAGGATGCTTTATAGAGGGAGGAGCATTCAGTCTATTGATCCAACATCACCACAGCAGTCTGTTTTGTGACCATACCCTAGCAAAACAGTAAACTAGGTCAGAGGACCCCCCTCCACCCCCACACACACATTGGAGACGGCCGAGGGAGTGGGCATTTGAATAGTAGTTATTTAGAGTTACAATAGATTGTTTCTCTTTTTGGGATTGTTGCTGAAATCTCAAGTTCTCCTGGTGTGCTACAGCTCCAAATTGGTCCAATGAAACACTCATGAGTTGAAGATTTGTTGGCGTCCTTTGGGGTGTTGACCAGGGGGCCTGCTTAAGTCATTTATCTGGGCTCCAGATAAATGGTGTGTATTTTTCGACAACAGGATGAACCTACTCTGCCTATTGCACCATCCTGCTTTATCCAGCAATGCTGTGGTTTTTTAATGCAGAATTTTTGGGCAGAAAAACCAAACAAAACCCCAACCTTACCAGCGTTTTGGCAGTTTATTTATTTATCATGTCAGAAGTGAATTGAGAATTCAGTACAGTATATTAAAAAACCACAAACAGTTAAAAACTTGGCATTATACTAAATATCCTTTGACCAGTAGCTGGCCACTTGGAGTGCCTCTGGTGTTGCCATGAGAAGGTCCTCCATGATGCATGTGGCAGGCTATGTTGTAGTAAGCAGTGGTTTGCTCTTCTCCTCGCTTGTATGTTGTGGACTCCACTCTGTAGCCCCATTTCTTGAGGTTGGCTCTGTATCTCGTGGTGCCAGAGCACAGTCTGTTCAGCGCCTTCCAAGTCGCCCAGTCTTCTGTGTGCCCAGGAGGAAGTCTCTCATCTGGTATATTTTGGCAGATAAAGGGCCTGTATTTTTGTGGCTTGGAAAATGCAGAAGTCAAGACACAAGAACTCTACTTCCTTTTTCTGACTCAGTCTTTTGTCACATTGGTTTGCAGTTTTTCATAACTTCCGAGCAATTAATATTTGAGGTCCAGGGCTTTGAAAGTAGAATATAAATACATTTGCTGCCAGTGGCAAGATCTCACTCAAACCCCACTTTCAGAGAGGTGTTTTCATTTTTAAGTATGTTATAGTGGTATTGCTGAGATGGTTGAACAGATGGGTGAAGTAATGCCAGGGATGGTAATGTCAAAAGCCGAGAATAAGTATGGAAAGTGGAGGAGAGGGAAGAGGGTGGGTGCTGGACAGGAAAACTGCGGTTCTGTAATCCTAGTACGGAAGCCAAAAAGTTAGCACTAAAATAAAATTCAGCATTTTTAAAAAACTTTTTTTTACAAAAACTCCACAGGAAGCTATGCAATCATAGATGTAGGTGTGA